TTTGATGCTTCATTCAGAGAATTCAAGTAAGATAAAGAATGACAAGATCCAACATTAGAGTATTGAGCTCTCTTGCTATGACTATGACATTGTCTATTGCCCTGAAAAGAGAATATGCCAGCTGACACTTATCAAGAGCATTCTGTTCAGCTATCAACTTTAACCCTTTGAATAGTCATCAAGAACAGTTAGGTCACCCGGGAGTTATCCGAATGGTACATTTTATCCGGGTTCGTAACTTCCCCTACTCTGTGGAAGATGTTAAGAGGATCTGTGCAGTGTCAAACTTGTGCCAAGTCAAAGCCTCGGCTCTACAGAGCTGACACGGCTACTCTGATCAAATCCACTCAACCCTTTGAATGTCTAAACATTGATTTTAAGGGACCACTACCATCTGTTTTGAAAAATCGCCACCTCTTGACTGTGATTGATGAATATTCACGATTTCCATTTGCTTTTGCGTATGAGGTTATGACTAGCTGGTACTGTTATACATTGCCTGCTCCAAATATTTAGGTTATTTGGCATGGCGGCATACAGTAGTACCCCGATTTACGCAGTCAATTGAACCCACAGGGTACCGCGGAAAGTGAAATCAGCGTAAAGTGAACAACAGAACATATGGGATTAATTGAAATAGAGACTGGCCCGACCCCCAAACTCCACTTTTTGACGACACAAAACTATGTTGTAGTAAAAATATTATCTTAACTTTATGATGGTATGCTGCACACACAATTAATATAGAAGAGGTTAGGTTAGGAAAAATAAAAAGGTTAGGATTAGGAAAAAATAAAAGGGTTAGGTTAGGAAAACTAAAGGTTACAGGTGCTTAACACTTACATTAGTAGAAGAGATGGAGTGCGACATACGGGGATGGAGGCTGGTTCGAGGCAGAGGGCAGATTACTGGCCCTCAGGTGAATCACCATTACTAGGTGAATCCCCCATCACTATCAGTCATAGTTGTCAGGGCCTCCTGACAAATCCCTCAAAAGTCACTTTCACTGGCTGGCGCTGTGGTGGGTTCAAGGCGAAGAACTTCGTGTCTTTTTTGGCTAGTGTTGATGTTTCTTGATACACCTTGATGTCTGGCTCCATAGCCTGCACCAGCAGGTATCTGGAAGACTTCCTGCGGTCATCGTCAGGGTCGTTGGAAAAAGGAAGAAAACTTTAATTTCTCTGCACACTTTCGATGGCACCCTTAATAAGCCACTTACTGCGTTAATTTGTGTTCTTCTGGGATTGGCCCACCACCTTCCTCTTCACTGATGTTGTCATCTTCCAACATCTCATCGGCAGTCATTTCAAGATCTCAGTCTACCTCCAGGATGTCGTTGGTGGTCTCGGCCTTCAGCTGTAATACTGTCTTTTGCTTCTCTTGCAAGGTCCAATGCCACTGTCACAGACTGAACCTCACCAGTCACAGAGTTGACTCCGCCTCTCACCTGGTATACCATGCAACACAGCGCTGCCTCCCGTAAGTGGCCGAATGCGTAGCTATAGACAGCTGATCCCGCATGCCTCCACCAAAGAAGTCTACAGCTTGTTTGGCGTTAAATTTTTTCAAACTGTCTGTGAGAACTTGAGTCACCACCTCTTCATTCTTTGCCTACGTTGCTTTTGCTCTGCTTCTCGGTGTCACCCAGTTTACGCAGCTCATCCTTGGTGTTGGTACAGTCGTTCAGGAGCTTGAATTTCTTTGCAGTATGCAGCTTTTCACATTACTGAATCAACTCTGGTCCATAGGCTGGATTAATAGCGTAGTGTTGGGAGGAAGGAAGACCACTTTTACGTTGGGGTGGCGATCCGCAAGTAGGCGAGTGTCCTGGTCTTGCGTTGTCAGGAGCAACAAATCTTGAATGGAACATTTTGTTTACCGCGGGTATTTCTTCCGTCCGGGAATGAAACAGTCATCAAACCAGGAGAATGAGCCAGGCATCCGCATATAGCGTCTTGATCAGCCAGTGGACATTAATCTTGCTCACCTGTATCACGTTCTTGTAGGCATCGCGACTGCGAGGCTGTGTGAATCTGCGATAACTTTGGTTTTCAGGTACGGAGAGGCATTGGTGGTAAAGAGAACCGATGATGGCTCCTTCTGCAACTTCCGACCCGGGAATCTTGCTGGCAGACTGGACAACAAGGTCTTGGTAAGCAGCTTTTTCCAAATAGGCGAGATTCGTCCATGTTGAACACCTGGTCGTCAAGTGTACTGCCCTTCCTCCATAACCTCCGTAGAACGGAGGAAAATCTCCTACTTCCCACGGTCCTTTCCTTCTTCACCACCAATGTTGATGTTGGTCCTCTTCTTAGAAACCTATACAGCCAACCAGAGGAAGCATTGAAGGGTTTGACTCTGCAATTTCCCATCTTCGTGACACCATTGCATACAGTTCCGCGTCGTACTCTTCAGAAACGGATCGTGATGTCCACTGCCATGTTCGCGTCGGCGCCTGGCCGAATCCAAGTAACTCACCCTTTTTTCACCTTTAGCAGCACCTTGTTCTGGCAATGCTGATCATTGAAGCACCTGCAAACCTTGTGATTCTCATGTGCTCTTTAATCTTCAGCTTGCGTAACTTAATAGTCACGAATCGTGATTAGTTGACTCCTCTTTGGCGAGATCAGCTTGGCGTGTTCCTTTCTCCAAATGCCAGATGTATCTGGTATTTCACTTACGTGGCTTAGGGAGCGTCGTATCTTCTTTGGCTTAGAGTGACTGGGTCCGGAAGTGAAGGGTTTCTCTCTAGTGGCCCAGTGGTCGGCGGGAAGCCATTCCTGGGAACAATGGATGCCCGTATACGGTGTGGCCTGGAGGGATGAAACTGCGGCGGTTGGAGTCCGAAAGTCTTTCACTCCACCTCCCTCAGCGGGTGGACCGTCCTTAATACTTTAAACAAATCACAGCTAGCGGAGGGAGAGTAGAGATGCATGGCCGAAATCACAGTCGATCGTCATATGGCGTCACTGATAAAAACAACAGGGCATGCACTCGCCTTGCAGCGGCTTGCCCAGGCGGGAGAGTCGAATCTAAAAATAAGCGTCGAGGCCAGACACTCTAAAATATATGGATAGATGCACCGCGGAAAGTGAAGATTCGGTTCTGGCGAGGCACCGCGTAAATGAGAAATCGCGGAAAGTGAAACCGCGTAAAGCGGGGAATACTGTATATCCATTCTGATAGAGGCCCATCGTTTATGAGCACAGAACTCAAAACTTCTTATGCAGACATGGAGTGGCAATGAGCCAGACAACACCTTATAATCTGCAGAGCAATGGGCAGTGTGAGCGCTATAATGGCATCATATGGAGAATAGTGACACTGGCCCTCAAAACTTGCAACTTAACATACACTCACTGGGAATCTGTCTTACCAGTTGTCTTGCTCTGTGTACTGCTATCATTGCTACTCCCCATGAGAAGCTCTTCCTCTTCCAATGTAGGACCACCAGCATGCATACTATACCGACATGGTTGTCCAAACCTGGTCCAGTGTTACTGCAGAGACATGTCAGGTGCAGTAACTATGAACCCCCTGGTTGATGAGGTTGAACTGGTGGAGGCCAATCACCAGTATGCCCATGTTAAATTCCCCGATGGATGACACTCGACTGGCACCTCCTTGTGTGGTGGGTCAAGATAAACCTGACTTGACTATTCTGACCTCAGAAGACGTTGGATCACTAGATGAGCAGAGTGAACATAATGCTGATACTATGTTTGAGAGAATGCATGAAAAATTTATAAGTGAATCACTGTCTGGGGAAATAAATGATCATCCTCGTAATGAGCCACTACTTCGGTCTGATCGCATCTTCAGAAAGCCTGCTTGCTTTGATGACTATGTTCACAGATTCTTTTAGTCAGGAGGAAAGAATGTAATATGAACTTGGAAAGCAACCAGCAAATGAAATGAGCAGCAGCAATACCCCTTGTGGTAATAGGCTCCACAATGCCATCACTTGGATGTTAAGTTGGAAGTAATAATTTACGTTGAGGCTGGCAAAACAACAACATTCGTCTGGAATTTTAGGACTATACAATATCATAGCCAACTGTGGCAACCTTTAAAAACTTACTGTTCTGTATTTCCTTGAATTGTTGTCTATGTCCAGTACATGTACTGTATACTACAACTTCAATTTTTAATTATGAATATATAGCTCCTCCCCGACTTACAATGGGGTTAGAGACCCAAATCCAGGTCGTAAATGAAATGGTTGCAAGTCGAAAATGCTTAAATAATACATAGAAAATCTAAAATGGGTGTCTTTTCTTCTTCTCAACACCACAAAACTCTAACTTTTAAGCTTGCCAGCCATTTTAAAGTGAATTACAAACAAAAATTTTGTCTGTGTACAGCTGGGACTCAAAAATGCGTAATTTGACAAAATTTTGGTACGACTGAGGCAGATCGTCATCGAGTGGAATAAATAGGAAGTCGGGGAGGAGCTGTACATTACAATATTTGAGTTGCAAAGTGTCATTTTATCATGCTTTATTTATTTTTATTTTTTGGTGATGTATCTGCCCAATTTTGCAATGGTAACCAATGGATAAATACAATTTGATATAAGGTTACTGTACTGTACTGTACTGTATTTGGTTTACAGTATGGTTGTAAGGAATGCAATTCTACCATATATTGAATTTCTTTGTAATAAATCCTTGTCATGCATAATCTGCCTTACTGGTCTAAAATTGATACACAGTACCAGAAATTTACAGTAACCAAAGAGTCACTGTACAGATTAAAGGGTACAGTACAGTTTAGGATATTTTAAGTTTGGGTTACTTTAACCAAAGTGGAAACTTAATATTACAGTACAGTAGTTGTTTTTTTACCTGATGTGGGTTCAAGTTCTCATCATCATAACAGCAGAAAGCAAGTTATTTTTCCAATCTCATAACCAGCTGGTATAGTAGATATTATTGTAACCTCATTTCATGTGGCTAAGTTATGACTAGTTGTATATGTGATTATTTTTATTTTGACAGATATGGTAAAAAGTGAACTGCAGCAGCCATGGCAACAAGTCTTGAGGATGGTGTGAACTATTTGTGCATAGTATGCAACTTGGACGTAAAAGGAGCACCAATTAATATACACTCAAATTTGGCTGCAAAAAATGGTAGTATCCACAGTCTAATATGCCAAGTTGTGAACTACGAAGACTTACTGGAAGCATGTCAGAGTTCAGAAGTTATATGTGCTAGGTGCTTAAAGATATTACTGAATATTGTTAACCTCGAATGCAAGATAATTAATTTGAGGAATGACTTCCGAGAAACATTTCAGAATGGCATCGAGTCTCGTAGAGTCCCAATCGGGGAAAGTTTAATGAACCAGGTTAAACCAAGACATCTACCTGATGAAGAGAAAATTGATGTGAAAATTTGTAACAGCATAGAGTGGGGTGAAGGTCCTGGGTGCCAGCAGGAATATCAAGCAAACAACGACAAGACTTTTGTAGGTATAAATGAAAAAGTGTTTGATATTACTGACAGCTCTAAGCATGATTTGTTGTCTGTAAATGGGTTGATGTGTGAGAAAAAGGTTCCTATTAAATTTGAAGCATCAAATAATGTTATTTCAATTGAAAGTGAACATTGCATTGAAATTTCGAATAATCATATGTCTTTCAGTGGTGCCAGAGATTTGAATGAGTTAATACCACCTCGTGGCATTGAAGATAATCCCGAAATTATTGGTAACTCACTTAATGATGAAGCTGATCAGTCAGTTACATTTAAGAGATCTTGTAGTGAATCAGCTTTGCTGGATTGTCCATCTAGTCCAGCGAGTGGGCAGCACCTTATTGACCCATTGAAGGACTCTGTGGAATCTGAATATTTTGACGAGCAATCCCAAGACATTGCCACAAAAATATATCCAGCCAGCACAGAGAAACAAAAAGAGATTGATCCTTTATTGACAGATTTAGATAATCTTGAAGTGAAGATGTGTTTAGAAGATGATGTGAAGAATTCTACTTCAGGAAGAAGGAAAAGGACTAAACCAACACAGCCACAACAAATACGTAGGTGTCTAGTGCTATTTTACCAACATTTTAATGTCTAAATGTTTAGCAATTTGTGTTAGAAGTGCAGTATACTGTACATATTTAGCTCAAACAGCTTCAGCATTGTTTTAAAAGCTATGTGAAGCAATGCATGAAAACCTGTCTTGTCACAAGAATGCAGCACTCGTAGTTTATGCTCCCTTCCTTCTAGTCACAACTGTTTATTGAAGTTCTTTATTGTTATGTAAAGGCATTTTCTTTAAGTTCTGGAATACTCTTATAAAGACAATTAGAAAACAGTATAGGTATTAGCTCTGTCACACAACCATTATGTGAAGCATCATTATCTACAGGAATTCAGTATATTGCTTTCCAGGTACTGTATGTATAATAATGTATTTGCTAAAAAGCCAAACTGTACTAAATCAATGTTATATTTTATCTAATAGATGTTGTAACCAGCAGAAATGTGCATATTTGCGTATTTAATATACCGTATATCATTATCTTTAGGGCTAAAAAGACCAAAGAGATACAAAAGAAAGAAGATTTTGGTGGAAGGAACAGAGGTTAAGACAGAAATGGAGCCTGAGGAAGAATCAGATTTGGAAGATAGTTTGCTACAGGTAAGTTGCTAACATATCATGCTGATAAGTGTGTGTGTAGAGAATGACATGGATGCTGCCTGATGTGTATGTTAAGTGAAGTAAAAAACCTGCTTGGGGTGTTGTGAGTGTTTCTGGATATCATCAGAATGGTAAGAAAAGAGGTTAACTCAAAAAATAAAAGGAACTAGGTTGTCATGGTCTGTGCAAAACAACAGTGAAGAACAAATGGAAGGTGAGCTGGGGATAAGTGAGGGGAGTAAAGCTGAGGATTTATAAAAGGGTAAAAGTGACAGAATAAGTGGCAGTGCTGTTAAGGAATAGGATGTGGAGTTGCATGATGGAATATAAAGGGGTCAGCCTCAAACTATTATTGATCAGGATAAAAGTAGGATAGGAGAACTGGGTTATTGACTGTATGTACAGTACAGACAAATACAAAGAGGAGCAAAGAGATTGTTGATGAAAACATTGGGTGACTGCTGAAAGATTCAGTGTGAGATAGAATGATAGAATTTAACTGTAAATGTATGTTATCAGGAAATGAATGAAATATGAGGTTCCAGGACTAATGGATATAGAGTGATTAGAGTGTGAATGAAATATGTGCTGAGAGAAGGTTGATAGTAGGAAGATATGGTTCATAAAAAGAAAAATTTACAAGTACCCTGTACCTATATATAATATGGGTAAGGGCCAGTAGAGAAGGCAGACTGTGTATTGGTTGATAGAAGATTGAGAAGTAAGTTGATTGATTTGGATGTAGTAGAGAAGCTGTGTATGCCTGTCTCATCGCCCTTTAAAAAAAAATGAGAATATTAGTGAATGGAAAGGCCAAGGGAAAGAGGTTAAAAGATAAAAGTGAGGACATTTGAAAAATTATGAGATGAAAGGAGGGAATTTGTTAGAAATATATGAAGAAATAAAAAAAATTTTCACATGCAAATGAGCGTTGAAATGGGACATCCTGAAGAGGAATGGGAGCAGGATTGAGTGACATACTGTACAGTCAACCAAAGATGCACTGACACCACCCTGGGTCTCGTACTCGCAATTTTACTTGGCAATACATGTACCTGGTAAAGTAAGGCTGTATGTAATGGCGATTGTGATTGTTGGATCTATTTTATCCTGTCAGGATAATATTAAACAAGCCAAAGGTAACATTTTTATAATAATATACTCTTCATCATTATTTTACATCATGAGATGTTTCCAAATATTCGTATACAGCTACTCCCCGACTTATGACCTACTCGCCTCATGACCACCCGGACATACGACCACCTCAGTCGCTCAAAATTTTGTCAAATTACGTATTTGGTCCCAACATCAGTGATTGCGCTGTGTACTGATAAAATTTTCGTTTGTAATTCACTTTAAAATGGCTGGCAAGCTTAAAAGTGAGAGTTTTGTGGTGCTGAAAAAAAGAGACACCCATTTTAGATTTTCTATGTATTATTTAAACATTTTCGACTTATGACCATTTCGACTTACAACCTGGATTTGGGTCCCTAACCCCGTCGTAAGTCGGGGAGCAGCTGTATTTGCTTAAATAATGAAGAAAATTTTATATGACAATCTTGTGGCAACTGTGGTTATAGTTGAGTTGCCAATTCATTAATATAATTTTCTTCATTATTTAAGCAAATACAGTATACAAATATGTGGAAGCTTTTCATGATGGGAGTAAACAAATGCTGTACCTCGGAGTACTGCTGCACAACACACCTGTGACATCAGTAAGAATGAATCACACACAACTAATGAAGGGGGAGCTTCTGTTTGCTTTTGATTTTGCACATCCTGTTTTATAGTGGAAAGAGGTTTTAAAGATTAAAAAAATATATATATTAATGTTTGTTACCTCACATAATTCAGTCATTTATTAATTTTCATTTAATCTTAATGTAGGTACTAAGCTCATTAAACACACTTACCCCGGTACCCTTAACATTTTTCATTTCAGTTGTTTCTATGAAATATTCTTTTTTAACAATTGACTGTAACATTCTTAAAAAAATAATTAAATTTGTTCTCATTTTTATTGACTATTGCCATGTACTTCAGCACTCTTTTACTCCCTTTGGATCATTAATTGTACAGTACAAAGTAATTTACATTCACCATTTGTAGTTCCTATTCAAAAAGATCTTTTAAGAATTTTTTTTTTAATCGTGTCTTTCCTATGACCATATTAGTAATTGATTGATTTCAGGTACAGTACAACATGATTACCTGTGAACTGTGTGGAGAAAGATTCGGTGACTCGAGAAAGTTAGCGAAGCACGGGAAGAATATGCATGCTTCAGTGTACTGCTATGTATGTGACCAGTGCACAGACATTCGTTATCGTGAGAAAGCAAAGTTGACGCAGCACCTCAGACGTATCCATAAAGTTTCAGTTCATCAGTGCCAAGCGTGTGACCATGAGGTAAGTTGTGTAGAAGATGTTTGACAAGTTTCAGTTAATTTTACAGTACCCTATGATTGGCACGGGCAACTTTTCCTCAGTCATGGGCCCATTACGATTTAGGTATTTTTCTATGGGCCAGCCCACCTAAATTTATCCTACCTAACCCAAAAGTAATGTTAATATTGTTTCAGCACGGACAGTGAAACAGTTTATCGTCACATCCACCTTACCATATTTTCAGTTTACAATCACATTCTTTTTACCCATTTATGAAACAAGTCCATCATAATTTTTTAAGTAAAATTTTAATGTTTCTTGGCATTTAACAGAAGATGAGTGAAGCTGTCTGTGAATACGTTGATTTTTCCTACAGTTACAGCATTTTTCTTAATTATGAGACACCCTCACCAGAATAATGTCGGTGCACATGAGGAACTACAACGAAACAACTTATAGGTATATATATATATATATACAGTTGTACCCCACTTAACGCGGTCAATAGAACCCAGAGGGTCCCGTGTTAAGTGAATCGTGTTAAGTGAACAACAGAACATATGGGATTAATTCCAATAGAAACCGGCCCGACCCCCAAACTCCACTTTTTGAAGACACATAACTATGTTGTAGTAAAAATAACATCTTAATTTTATGATGGTACATGCACACAATTAATACTTAAAATAGAAATACAGTCGCCAAGTTAATGTCCATTCAAATAATGGACTCAACTCCTCCCTCTCACACTACACTGCGGCTCTTCCCTCTCTGAGAAATTTTGGGAAAACCACTAAATTTTAATAAATAATACCTCAAACTAAAGTTAGGATAATACAATTGACATTGCTGGATTCCCTTAAGACCAGGAATATTTTGAATATAAATGTCATATATTTTGCACAAAAGATAACATAGTTACTCAGAAAAAAATTTTATCTAAAATTTGTATGTCTAATGCAAAATATATGATGTTTATATTCAAAATAATCACCAAATTATAAGAATTCCAGCAATGTAAATTATATTCTGGCCGGGTAATTTGTATGAATTTTATGAGCTAAAACAAATATCTTCAGTTAATAAAAAAAATAATCTTCAGGACACTATCTGTCAATCAAAGTACCCACCTTGCCTTACCCCTCTTCCAACCCGCGGTCAGTCCCAACCCTCCCCCCACCAATCATCCCTTCAAGAGAAGAGTGGGTGAAAAATTTAGATCTTAACATTTTGTATTAAATAATACCTCAGATTAAAGTTAGGATAATATAATTGACATTGCTGGATTCTTGTAAGACCAGGAATATTTTGAATATAAGCGTCATATATTTTGCACAAAAGATAACATTCTTACTCAGATTAAACATTTTATCTAAAAATTTTATGTCTAATGCAAAATATATGATGTTTATATTCAAATAATCATCAAATTATAAGAATTCCAGCAATGTAAATTATATTCTGACGAGGTAATTTGTATGAATTTTATGAGCTAAAACAAATATCTTCATTTAATAAAAAAAATATATATTCTTCACGAGGGTAACAGATGGTCGGTCAGTCCCTCCTCCCCCCACCCTCCACCACCGTCCCAAGGAGATGTGTGGAAAACCAGAATACTTAACTTTTTGTAATAAATAATGCCTCAAACTAAGTTAGGATAATATAATTGACATTGCTGGATTCCTTGTAAGACCAGGAATATTTTGAATATAAATGTCATATATTTTGCACAAAAGATAACATAGTTACCCAGAGAAAAATGTTATCTAAAATTTGTATGTCTAATAAAATATATGATGTTTATATTCAAAATGATCACCAAATTATAAATTCCAGCAATGTAAATTATATTCTGGCGGGTAATTTTTATGAATTTTATGAGCTAAAACAGGCAGTCAGGCAGGGTGGCAGGTGGGGCAAATCTAAAATTAGCATCTCGGGCGGACACTCACGTATATGTGGGAAAAAATCCGTGTTAAGTGAAAGTTCAGCTCTGGCGAGGCACCGCGTGATATGATAAGCGTTAAGTGAAAACCGCGTTAGGCGGGGGTAATACTGTATATATATATATATATATATATATATATATATATATATATATATATATATATATATATATATATATATATATATATATATATATATATATATATATATATATATATATATATATATATATATATATATATATATATATATATACATATATATATATATATATATATATATATATACATATACATATATATACATATATATACTGTACATATATATATATATATATATATATATATATATATAGCTGACTTGACGGGGTTAGGGACCCAAATCCAGGTCGTAAGTCCGACATGGATAATTTTTTTTTTTTTTTTTTTTTTTTTAATAAAATTACAATGAAATACTGTACAGTAAAAGTAATAAATAATGAGGAATGGATACAGTGTGACTGAGCACTTACCTAATGTCATCAGCTGAATGCACATGGGTCCCCATAATTTTCTAATTATACATGGAGACTACATTAACTGGAAACGTTTAGGTATAGGAAATGGTCGTCATTTGAAGAAGAAAAAAATGGTCACAACTGCGGCGGTCGTAAGTCGGCGATCGTAAGTCGAAGCAGTCAATAGTCGGACTAAAAATGAATATATATATATATATATATATATATATATATATATATATATATATATCTTGATAAAATCACACGGGAAAATGGAAACAACGAATTACCTTAGCTTCGTCTTTATTCAAGACATCTTCAGAGGCAACTGGATTACATGGACAGAGAGGCTTAAATATACAGGGTGACCTAAAAACATGAGGTCAGGTCATAATGATGACATCCACTAATCCCCACACCAACACACACGTAGGAGAATAAGAAGGGTGGTGGCGTGACTAGACAGGTCAGGTAAAAAAAAAAAAAAAAAAAAAAAAAAGGACCCACAAAATAACTATCATACATCAAGATCAAAGGTTTTCAAAGCATTTTTAACCTTGGGCCACTGACAAATAAATTTATGTAACAGAACGAATGTGTATTTGTGACTCTGAATTTATTGACGATGAATTGAAACACATTAGTTCTGTTGCACAGAAACTTGGGTACCCTTCTGTGTTTGTTGATCGTTGCTTTAAAAGGGCTAAAAAATCCTTTCATTCCTCTCAAACCAGACAAGTTCCTACACTTAAGAATATTTTGACTCTGCCCTATCGTAATGAATTTGTCCCGTTAGTTCGGTCCCTCAAGCTTCTAAATATTAATGTTGTTTTCAAGTATGACTCAACCATTACCAATATGTTAATAGGAATAGCCCAAGTTTGAATGTAAATGGAAGTGTTTATTGTATTCCATGTAGCAAATGTAATTGTAATTATGTAGGTCAGACAGGAAAAACCTGCAGTCACGTCACCACCCTTCTCTTAAGCTCCTCTCGTGTGTGTTGGTGTGGGGATTAGTGGATGTCATCATTATGACCTGACCTCATGTTTTTAGGTCACCCTGTATATTTAAGCCTCTCTCTGTCCATGTAATCCAGTTGCCTCTGAAGATGTCTTGAATAAAAGACAAAGCTAAAGGTACTCCGTTGTTTCCATTTTCCGTGTGATTTTATCAAGATTTATCTTATCCACGTTTTCATTGTATTTACATAAATATATATATATATATATATATATATATATATATATATATATATATATATATATATATATATATATATATATATATATATATATATATATATATATATATATATATATATATATATATATATATATATATATATATATATATATATATATATATATATATATATATATATATATATATATATATATATATATATATATATATACAACAAACAAAGGTGTATATATACAGAGGAGGGTGAGACCAGGTCCACAATGGTCAGGTTTTGGTAATGACCCTACTAATCTTTAAATAGCACCGCATGTTGATCCATTAGTCAGGTCAGATGGTAAGGTGACCCAACCTTCTCACCTGGTTACAAATCTTCTTAATTACAAAATTGTCCAGTTTGTACATGCCATTACTCAAATTCATGTTGAATGCTTCGGTATGTTTAATGAGACTAGATTCTATGATGTTCCTACTATCAATTGAATTACAAGGTGATATTGAGGAGGCATTATCCCAGTCAATGCAATGCTTGTTATCTCTCAAGTGAACAAACAGAGCATTGGATTCTAACCCCTGTCCTAACACTATATTTATGTTGTTTAAGTCTAGTTACAAGATCTTTACCTGTCTGGCCTAAGTAAAATATATTACATTCCTTGCAAGGAACTTTATAAATGCAACCAATTGTGTTGTTGGGGGAGTTCTTAATTAACATTTGTTTAACAGTGCATGAGTTTTTAAATGCCACATTGACGTTCCAGGTTTTTAGTTGTAAAGGAATGTGTGAGAAATTTTTGTGAAATGGTAATATTAAGATATTCTTATGGTCATGGGTGGGTTTGGGATCAGTTCTATAAAAAGTTTTCTTAGTAAATATCTTAATATTACCATTTCACAAAAAATTTTGGTATTTTTTAAAAAGTAGATACCCAAAAATGTTACTTTAGTACAATACTCAGGTAAATTTATTTTGTTACTTTATAACTCTGCCACATTAAATAGAATTTCTCAGTCACTCCATGGGCCGCACAAAGACATGGGCCATGGGTTGCCTATACCCCTGCCCTAAGATACCTGCTGCTTAGTGGTAGATATTTCATGCAAAATGTCCTCCACACTTTCATATTCCTACGTGTTTATCCTATATTTTCATGGAGAGGTACTAGCTTATTGGATATATGCTGAGCTCATACACAAGAACTGTAGCTTTTGTGTTTTCGATTTTGCTCAGCTACCTTTTATAGTCTCTCTAAATGAATCATACTTTCCTTAATCAATTTATCTTTTATTTTTCAGGCATCAAGTCAAAGATCCCTCGATCAACATATCATAAGTAATCATCCTGATTCCCGCTTCTTTGAATGTCATATCTGTCACAAGGCTTTCAGGACTCACCGCTATCTTCATTTTGCACACATAAAGAGGTGTCATTTTGGTCTTCCTGTCAAATATACTTGCGAGAAGTGCAAAAAGGGGTTTGTTGACAAGTCCTCTTTTGAAAATCATAAGGTCATCCATTCTAAAGCTAAAAACTATACATGTGAATTTTGTGGGGCAATGTTCTACACATCTTATACCTTGAAAACGCATGTTAATACCCATACACAGGAAAAAAAGTATGTGTGTGGAGACTGTGGTTCAGCATTTTTACGCTTCAGTAATTTGATTGCACATAAAAAACGGCTTCATAGTTCTGATGACCTGAAGTTAGTGTGTGAAATTTGTGGTAAATCAATGCTTACGCAGAGAGATCTCCGAAGACATCAACTAGCACATCACTCAAAAGAAAGGTCATTCACATGTCATCAGTGCCCACGTTCTTACACTGCAAAAGATAGCTTAAGAAGTCATCTAAGGACACATGCGGGAGAAAAGCCAGATAAAGACCCCAGTGGTAAAGTTTTTCATAAGAACAATTTGTTGTGTCACCGACAGCAGTGTGTTCCTGTTGGTGATGAGTTCCAGCAGGATATAATTCACACGCAGGATACAAAAAATACAGTTCAAGTAAGTGGTGAAGAAATTGAAGGAGGGGAGCATATGGTTGTTATAACACTAAAAGAATGTCAGCCACCAGCAGTGTATACTGTACGGAATGCACAGACACATCTGCAAGAGATTATGGTTTCCAGTGAAACTCCTTCACACACTCAAAGTGGCAGCATAGTTGATGAAAACTTACCATTAGAGGGTACAGGATTACCTCTCTTGCACTCACAACTTGGAACAATAGGGACAGGAAGGATTGGCCTTTCAACACCTGTATTATTTACAACACTGAACACTGAATCAATTAGTGTTCAACATGGTCAGGATACAATATCAGGTGGATTATCACATTCAGGTTTTACAACAGATGTAACATGTATTGATGGTGGTCTTCAAGCAACTCCTCTCACCTTCCAGCAGACACCAGTACCTGGTGTTCAGTCAAAGGAACAAGATTCCCTTGCATCTTTTTCTGCAGAAACTCCAGTCACATGTGCACCTCTGACCACCCAGTTAATACAACTGCCTCCACTTCAAACAAGCACTGCCAACAATGCTCCTGTTACTTTTGTTGCAACATGGCCTTCTGCATTATAAAAACTGTTGTAACACAGACACACATTTTTACATGTACAGTCAGCTAAACAATTACAGTATTATTATGATAACATTAATAAAAAAGATTGAAGCCAATTGCCACAGAACGAGGTTTGTGATTGTTAACACTTGAGAATCCTGTTTGCTCATGATGTGTTTTCCATTCAAAAAATTGCTGTAGCACTTGTTCATAAGTGGCAACTTGGTTACCATGCCCTTTCTCCATAATTTGTAAGTGTTATTCACGTGTTTAACCTGATAGGTCCTAGTACTAATGAGGCAATGGGAAGGGACTTAAGACTAAGTCAACTGCTTGCTGCATACTGTCCATACATTTTCATCCCATATTTTTAAGTGATGACATTACGGTAATTACAGTAGAAGTCATAATTGTAATGTTATAATAGTTACAGTAGATGTAGCACTATTGGTCTGTCTGAGGTTGCTAACACAGAGCCACATGCGGCTTTCGTGGCATTCACCCATGGAGTCAAGCTTCGCTGGAACTACCTGATGCGCACTATCCCTGATATTGGACCCCTCCTCCACCCTCTGGAAGAAGCTGTCAGCATCAATTTCATTCCCAAATTAGTGAAACACCCTCACTTAACCCCAGCAGACAGATCATTCCTTGCACTACCACCGAGACTGGGAGGTATGGGATTGACCAATCTAGGGGAGTTGCCACTGAACATCAAAACTCAGTGAAGCTCACGGCAGTCCTCACTGACCACATAATAGCTCAGAACGCAACAGGAGGTGAATACCAGTGAAGTAAACAAGATTGAAGGTTCATTACGACAGAACGACAGCACAGCCAAGAGTAAGTTGCAGCAACTGTTGCTGCAAGTACCAGAGAATTTTTAAAAAAGTAGCTATAAGGAGGAGGTGGGCACCTCAAACTGGTTAACTACGTACGATAAGGGCAAATGGTTTCAGTCTCAAAAAACAGAATTTACAGATGCCAATGTTCTAAGGTACGGTAGGCCAGTAGAAGGTTTGCCCTCCTAATCGCGGTGTGACTCTTCCTATGACGCCGATCATGCCATGGTGTGCAAGAAAGGGGCTTCATATGCATGAGGCATGGCCAGTAAGGGATATCACAGCAAATATGTTGAAGGAAATCTGCGTGATGTTGGGTAGACCGACCTCCTTCCATTGGACGGTGAGATTTTCCAACATAGGACTTCAAACACATCCACGAAGCCCGTGTTGACGTCAGTGCTCGAGGTTCTGGACGGGACAGCGAAGCTTCTTCAACATCAGGATTTTTATCCCATGGCTGCATGTCACTGTAACTTAGCTCGATGCTGCACACAGGAGGAACGAGAACGACAAGATAAGGGCATATGGAGAGAGAATTCAGAACGTTGATTAAGGCAGCTTCACTCCTCTAGTGTTCACATCCTCGGGTGGGATGGGACTAAGTGCAAGATGCTTCTCCCAGACTCACGGAGGTGATATCCGAACAGAAGCAGCAGCCCTGGATGAGATGTCGATTGTCCTTCTCTCTCCTTCGGTCTGCTTTGCTCTGCCTCAGGGGAATGAGAGCATCGGCCCCAAGCCCGACAACAGTTGCAGAATTGACTACAGGTTGACAATCCCTTATCCGAAATCCTTGGGGCCAGAGGAATTTCGGATTTCGGAATTTATCGGTTTTCAGAATTTTTTTTTTTTTTTTAATGTGTATTAGCCCACTCGGGCATAGATCTCTGACCCACATCAGGGCCTGGGGGGGGGAATATAGTAAAAATTATAATAATAATAATAATAATTCATAGGTCTAGGTCGTGTTTCTCACTTTTGATCTTTTTTTCATTCTTGTGTTTCTTTATTATTATTATTATTTATTACAGTACACCTGTATTATGGTTATTTTTATTAATTTTATTATTATATATTATTATTATTAATGTTATATTATTTTATTTTGGTGTATTTTTATTAAAATTTTATTTACTATAATTATTATTATTACTATTACTATTACTATTACTATTACTATTACTATTTACATTTTCGCCCCCAGACCCTGATGTGGGTCAGTGAACTATGCCCGGTGGGCTAATCCATGTTTTAAAGCCCACAAAAAACTTTAGGTTTTCAGAGCTTTTCGGTTTTCGGATAAAGGGTTGTCAACCTGTATTAGGCAACAGTCACTGAATACGCATAGATCTGCTGCTCAACTAACTCAACACAGCTAGGATAGCTACTTATGTATTAGGATATTTAATATTAAGGTAATAAAATGGTGGCAAAGGTATAGCTATTAGGGGAGGCTGGAGGCCATGGAAAAAAAAAATCAGTCATATATAGTAATACTAGAACCGGGTACTGTACAGACAGTACAGTGTCAGTACTATATTAGTTTAAAAAAATATGAAAAAGAAGAAACAGATAGCTATAGGAATCATTACAATTACTTGCCAGTATCCTTGATTAACAGCTTCAAAATAATGAGACAATAAATTCCTCTTTTGTCCTTGGCCAGATGCCCAAGAGACTATGTTAGTCAGTCATTTTGGGAGCTTCTTGATATATCCACTCCATGCAATGTGGGCTTGACAGAGGTCTTAAGTTGCTATTAAATCCATCCCTGTTCTTGACATGATCCTCTTAATTCCATCAATCCATCTTGTCTGGGTCTACCAACAGATCTTCTACCTCATGGTTGCCAATCAAGTATGTACTCGAGGTCTCTTGTTGGTGCCATTCTTCTTGGGTCACAGTTGGTTCTAGGCCTAAGGTATTTCTTACACTGGTGTTTCTGTCTCTTTTAACCTCCCACAATAAGTCTGAGAACCATCATTTCCCTAACTTGTACAGTATTTTTCTTTTAAATTTTTCTGATTGAAAGAGATAGCATTGTTCACTTCCATATATAAGTAAAGTATTGGTTTTTGAAATTGGTGTTGCAGATATAGAATTGTACTTTTATGGGGATATTTGTGTCTTTGAAAACTGAATTTACCGTAGATATTCTGTAATTTCAGGCTTTAAAATATTCAAAACTATCGACTCTCTAAGCTCATTCCATTTATTGTTATTCTGCCTTTTTCTCTCTGCCACCCACTACTGTACTTTTGTCTGGATTTATCAAATGAGGGATCTGAAAACAGTATTTTTCTTCCAGTGCATTGCCCACCACATCTTATGCTCTGTATATTTTCTTCCTTGACATTATACAGTACAGGGTGTCCATAAATGAATACCCTGATTAAAGCATGCTATGACTTTTAAATAAACACTCGTAATCAAAAACAGTTTTAATCATAAGTAGATAAACATACAAAGTTTTGATACATAGTTAGTGAACTTAATAAACTTCCAACATATGCACCCCTAGTGGCACGTAAAATTTCTAAACAGTATTCACACGCGCACCACACTTTTTCCAACATTTGTGGGTTAACTGTTGCTATTGCATCCGTAATGCGTTCTCGCAATGTCCTGATATCTGGAACAACTTGCATAAACCAAATTTTTAACATGACCCCAGAAAAGAAATCAGCGGGTAATGTCTGGTGATCTTGGGGGCCATGGGATTGGCCCGTCCCTGCCAATCCATTGATCTGGAAATGTTGCGTCGAGAGTTTCACGAACAACATATGCATGAAAGGGTGCCCCATCTTGTTGGAAGATGACAGTTGGCTGCCTGTCCTGCAGCTGGGGATGGCGTATTGAGCATATCCAGGTACACATTTTCGGAAACTGTTCTCCGCGAAAGGACCAATTATTCAGTCACGCGTACACCAGACATTGGTCTTCAGACTGTACCCAATATGCTCCCTTACTACATGTGGGTTTTCCGATCCCCAAATACGCACATTGTGTTTGTTGACTGTACCACTAACATGAAACGTAGCCTTGTCTGAAAAGCAGACACGTAACAAGAAGTCATTATCCTCGTCAATGCTGTTCAAAATGTCATTCGCGAATTGTTCACGCTTTGGACGGTCATCAGGCATCAGTTGGTGAACAATTTGTACCTTGTAGGCATGTAACTTCATACAATTCTGTAACACCTTGTGCACCGTAGACTTGGGCATCTGTAGTCGGCGTGAAGCTTGTTTCACCGATTTCCTTGGTGACCGTGTGAAAGCAGTTGGAATGTTTTCCACTGTCCCATCGGAAACTGATAGTCTACCACTGCTCTTTCCCTTTTCCACGTTTACTGTTTCCAGAATTTTCATCCACGACTTAATGAACTTCACATCAGGTGGTTTCTTTCCATACTTTGTTCTGAACATTCGCTGAACTCTGACAGGTTATTGTTTTTGCAAGCCACACAACACATTGTGCCTTCTATGTCACAGACGCCATGTTAACTAAACAGCTACTACAGCACTCCTAGCGGCGAATGCGGTTGTGGCACACACCAGCACAGAAACTGTGTGTCACGAGATCACCTGTAAAAAGAAAACGGATGTAAGATTCATCATTAAAATATGAGAACATACTGATTTTAGGGTAATCATTTATGGACACCCTGTACGGTATACTGTATGTTCTAATTTCACCCTTGTTGTTTGGGTTCCTCGGCTCTGGTGTTACATGTATCTTGAGTTTTCTTTGATTAGCCTATGGTCAGAAGCAAGTGAAAATGAAGTTAAAGTGAGTAACTTTTATGTCTTGATTACACTGGGCTGCATTTGAAAAAAAAATTCATGAGGTGCGAGGTTTCTTAGCTGATTCTTTATGTATTTTGCGTGCCGAGTCCAAAAATGCCATTCATTTTGCCCAATCAGGTCAGATTTTTATGCTATGGGAATTAGGAAAAAATCGAAATTCTTGAATATGATGTCAAAATTTTTATGCAAAATATATCATAAGAAATGTAACCACAACACATAGGACAAAATATGTCAACTACATAAATGCCTTTACAGTTAGACATGCATAAATGGCTGTGTGAAGAATTTCTTTGGTGGTTGGTGTCTGGGCGTCCCGTTTCAGACACCAACAGTAGTCGGCGACATGTTGATATCCCAGCGACCCTGGTACCCCTCCTCCATTACACGGATATCTTGATGGAAGCGTTCTCCTTGTTCCTCTCACATCACCACAGTTCTCTGGAAAGTAGTCCAAGTGGGAGCTGAGGAAGTGCATCTTGATGGACATCGTACCAAGAACTTTGTAGCTCAAGTAGGTCCTCAACAACTCATTCATACTCTGGACTTCTGTAGTTGCCGTGGAGACAATAGACTTAAAGGCATGCCAGGCTTTCTTCTCATTTACATCCATGCTGCATTACTGCAATCAAACTTGGGATCTTTGAAAAGCTTTGATCTGAGGACCATCAAAAATTCCTGCATTCAGCTTTCCTCACTGACTTTTGGAAATTTTTCTTAAAAGAAATTGAAAGCCTGGCTTTTTTTGTCCAGTGCCTTTACAAAGTTTTTGAACAGGCCGAGCTTGATGTGCAGTGGCGGAAGAAGAATGTTCTGCGGATTCACCAGAGCATGGGCAACAACATTGTGAGAACCTGGAGTAAGTCCACTTCTTGCAGGCCAGTCACTTGCATGTAGTGCTGCTTGTCTGCTCGACTATCCCACAGAC